AGCTGTTCACTACATCTCCTATTTGGTCATCTGGTAATTGAACTATATATACAGTTGCAATCAAAATAATTCAACCCAACAACACTCCACACATTCTGGCCCACCATTAGCGATACATGCTGGCGATGCTCTGGGGGTCAAGGAGACATGGAACACATCTGGTGGAGCTGCCCGAGCATAAAACCATTCTGGCAACACATACTGAAGGACATAGCGGAAATTCTCGCATTGCGAGTCCGTCTGTCCCCATCACAGGTCTTACTGGGCTGGCCTCGCTCCTTTAAGGAGCCGCACAAACAACAACTCCTGCAGATTCTGCTCGGGGAAGCCAACGCTCTAGTGCCAACGCATTGGCGCCGACCCAGCGTGCCGTCTAGGGAGCAGTGGGTACGACGGATTGAATGCACGAGGGAAATGGAAGAGATACACTGGTCTGTACTGGGAAGATGGCACAGATACCTTAAAATATGGGAGCCCTGGATAGAATTTTGGAAGAGCCCCCTAGGGACGGCCCCACCCATAACCCCCTAACTAAAGGGCGAGCACCCCTACATAGACTAGGACTGTCACAATAAGACCATAGGAGTACCCACAAGGATCGAATTTAGCTTCACTAGGCAGGACAAAACCCCCCCCCCCTCCCTACCCATCCCTCCTAACCTCCCACCCACCCAGGTTTATTACCCTATAGGACGTCCACGCCATAGTAAATACACCATTGTAACTGAAACGAGCTAAGCTGTAAACACCTGGCAAAATAGAACCAAATCCGGCGCTCCGGAATCCCGCAATGACAGTTGCCCCAGCAACCGACTATGACGAACAGAAGTGATATTGGTGCTTCACTATGTGCTAATGTATTCCATACCCCACTATGTTACGTTTAAATGATCCTTCTTCTTTCTTCTGTACCCCATGACTTTATACTCTTGAAAATAAAGAAAAATTTATTTAAAAATAAATAAATAAATAAATAATTCAACCCCGAAACTTCGGCAGCTGAAAGTCTGTAAATTTTGACAATTGGCAAAGGGTGAAACACACACATTAAAACACTAAATCTGAAACCCCTTGTTTCCAGCCCACGGCAATTCCTGTCACATTTCTCCCCCTTCGGAAGGAGAGTAACACATGAGAAGACACCAGATGGATTGACGCTGAAAATAATTAGTACATTAAGCCCACCAAGGCCAATACCAAATTGGTACCTTAAACAAATTTCCCATGCAAGAGCAGCACTCACCCAACCTACCCAAAGCATATATCCGCCGCTTGGGAAAGGTTTCTGCTGCACCTTCTGCCTGAAGTCCTCTCAGCTACTGGAAAGTAGGCACTGTGGCTGGGGCCCATCTGACATTGGATTGAGGATCTGAGGATTGGGGAACTGGGCTGACTGCCCAGGATTCCCGGGGACCACAGGTGGAGACTGTAGTCTCATCCACCTGTACTGGATAGAGATCCCCCAGTGCTTTTTGAGAGGGGCTGACATCCTTCGGTCCAGATGCCAACTCTTCTGCTGGACCAACTGCATTTGATACTTCAGACTCTTGGGCTACCGGTGGATTTCAGCAGCAGCGTTCTGGTCTGATGCCAGCTCTTCAGCTGGGGTAGTGGTGTACTCCTCAAGCTCCACCATCAACAGAAGGCTGTCCTCCTTGCTTTCAAGCCCTGGCATTGCTGCAAGTTGGGGACTGGGGCCAGTCATCCTCTATGCCGATGCCAACGCTTTCGATGAGGAAGCGAAGTACTCTTCAAGCTCCACCATCACTAGAAGGCTGTCCTCCCCGCTCTCATGCTCTGGTGTCGCTGCAAGTAGGGAGCAGAAGCCAGTAGCCCTCTGTCCTGATGCCAGCGCTTCCACTGGGGTTGTGACGTCCACTTTATATTCCATTTGTAGGGAATACTGTGTAACATTCGCAAGTAGTCTGCAATAAGCTTTTTCCAGACTCCACTCTTTCTTGAACAGAGACTCCAGATCGAACCTCAGGGCTGGCACACAATTAAGCTTGCTGCCCTATCTTTGCGAAACTTCTACAGCCATAGGTACCTCCTTTCGATACACATGTGAGCATCCTGGAGTATTTCCTATAATAGTCCTGGGCCGCCAAAGCCATAGTTCTTTGCGAACACTGCCCATCCCTAAATATTCCTTCTCTGCCTGCCACTGCAGAGTACGGTACTGCTGGTCTTGCTCTTACTGGAGAATACAACTCTGAAGTGATATAGCCCGTTCCCCAAATACCAGATGACACTTGGTGAAGGGATAAACACACACACATTACAACACTAAATCTATAACCCTGTGTTTCCAGCCCAGGGAAATTCTCGTCACTATATATATATATATATATATATATATACACACACACACACACACACATAGATATATAACATACAAGATCGAGTGCACTCACTCGCTAAATACCAAAGTCAAAGCTCACAAAATGTAATATATATATATCTATATATATATATATATATATATAGATATATATATATATTTTTAATAATAATACCTCACCCAGGCAAAATAATGACAATTTAATTTCAGTATATGATCATACAATGCATCCCAGGTCCTATCCTGTGTATATATATTTGTTGTTTGTCTGTTGTTTTACCTGGGGAGTCTACAGGTGATTTTGATTCAGAATCAATTCATTCCGGTATCAATTAACAGAAATTGTATTTGGACTAATCAATTTAAACGTGTTTTTTCCAAGTCTAATATATATATAGACAGATGGACAGACATACTGGTGGTTAGACCAACTGAAGCTCCAGCAGCCGTATGTTCCATTAATTTAACATATTTTTGGGGGAGCTCATCATTGATTCACTCAGTCAATAATGTGAATCAGTTCTGACTGCTGCTTCCACAGAAATATCAGGAAAATTAATTGGAAAGTCAGTTTATCATGTGGTATGATGTCACCACATTGATTCTAGGCATCTCTCCAAATTCAATTACTGTTCAAACAAGTTTGGACATCTGAAGATTCAGTCCTGATATATTTAAGATAATATTACTGAGAAAATATAATGGCAAAAATGCCAAATGCCAGTCAGTATGGTGGCTTGACTTTATAGCCATTATTATGCTTGGTTCTTGAATATTTAGTGTGTAGTAGTATGTGAACCCCATCTTTTCTATTATTGTAAGCCTTGTTATGGAAAAAACAGACACACTTGTTTTGTTAATAGTCTGTGAAAACAAAAAAAAAACCATAACAGTTCAGCTATTCCCAAGTCACAGCTTTGTTAAAGAAGAATAAAACTAAACCATATTACAGTCAGTGCCAAATTCTCCTCCTGGGAAAGGGATTGGAGGTGGGATGTAGATTATTTCCGGGCTCATAAACTGCAGTGAAATACTGTGTTTATAGCTGATTTTTATTTCATTGTCAGGGCAGGGTGTTTATATTTGGCATTCATATATTTATATAGTTTTTATACAGCGCAGCATGTTCACTATCAGTGTATAGATACTCCTGTCTAAAGTCACGGGAGCTACACCGAGGGCCAATCAAAGGTTTCTCATAGAGAAGCCTTTGATTGGACCATTGAACGGGCTCAGAGCGCATGCACAAGCTCTGATCCAGCAAAGTTAGGGAGAGAAGGAGGGGATATTAGTGGATGGGATAGGCAGGAGAGAGTGCTACATTCAGTGTGAGAAAGAGGAGAGATAATAGTTTTCCCTTGAAGGCTCTGCCTTTAAGGGAAAAACAGATTACGTCTGTTGGCAGTGTGCAGTGCATGCAGACGAGAGACTTAAAATATGCACAGAACTGACATTAAATACCCCATAACAGAGTTCTGAGCTGCCTACGTCACGTGTGCCGGAGGTGCAACTAGTCCCCAGCCTACAGTTATAAATAACTCTGGATGTGCTGCTGTGTTTCAAGCTAAACACTGCACATCCAGACTCCTGCAACCATGACCACTTCAAAAAGCAGAAATGGTCATGGTTGTTGGAGTAGCCCTTTGAAACTCACACCGCCAAGGGTTTTTAACTATTTATCCACTGGCTGCTAGCACGATCGTTCGCTTACATAAAAGCAAATAAACCATAATATGTGAATGTGCATCGTACGCCTACTGGATGCATCTGCTCCCTTTTAAGGTTAAAATCTGTGCTTTGTGAATCTTCCGAATCCTATACTTTGTATAGGATTCGGATGTGAAAGGAACGATTTTAATCTGGACACCTAATGCATGTGGGCGATTGCTGCTCGGGGCGAACGGAATTCCGACTATATTTGGCTTCAGTAAATATGAGCATTGCCATTTCAGTTGGAATTCTGACAAAATCTGGTGTAAAGTGAATAACCTCATCAGTGTTCTTATATACACTGCTCAAAAAAATAAAGGGAACACAAAAATAACACATCCTAGATCTGAATGAATTAAATATTCTTCTGAAATACTTTGTTCTTTAAATAGTTGAATGTACTGACAACAAAATCACACAAATATAAAAAAATGGAAATCAAATTATCTGGAGGTCTGGATTTGCAGTCACACTCAAAATTAAAGTGGAAAAACACACTATGGGCTGATCCAACTTTGATGTAATGTCCTTAAAACAAGTCAAAATGAGGCTCAGTAGTGTGTGTGGCCTCCACGTGCCTGTATGACCTCCCTACAAAACCTGTGCATGCTCCTGATGAGGTGGCGGATGGTCTCATGAGGGATCTCCTCCCAGACCTGGACTAAAGCATCTGCCAACTCCTGGACAGTCTGTGGTGCAACGTGACGTTGGTGGATGGAGCGAGACATGATGTCCCAGATGTGCTCAATTGGATTCAGGTCTGGGGAACGGGCGGACCAGTCCATAGCATCAATGCCTTCGTCTTGCAGGAACTGCTGACACACTCCAGCCACATGAGGTCTAGCATTGTCTTGCATTAGGAGGAACCCAGGGCCAACCGCACCAGCATATGGTCTCATAAGGGGTTTGAGGATCTCATCTCGGTACCTAATGGCAGTCAGGCTACCTCTGGCGAACAAATGGAAGGCTGTGTGGCCCCCAAAGAAATGCCACCTCACACCATTACTGACCCACTGCCAAACCGGTCATGCTGGAGGATGTTGCACACAGCAGAACGCTCTCCCCAGCATCTCCAGACTCTGTCACGTCTGTCACATGTGTTCAGTGTGAACCTGCTTTCATCTGTGAAGAGCATAGGGGGCCAGTGGCGAATTTGCCAATCTTGGTGTTCTCTGGCAAATGCCAAACGTCCTGCACAGTGTTGGGCTGTAAGCACAACCCCCATCTGTGGACGTCGGGCCCTCATACCACCCTCATGGAGTCTGTTTCTGACCGTTTGAGCAGACACATGCACATTTGTGGCCTGCTGGAGGTCATTTTGCAGGCCTCTGGCAGTGCTCCTCCTGTTCCTCCTTGCACAAAAGCGGAGGTAGGGGTCCTGCTGCTGGGTTTTTGCCCTCCTACGGCCTCCTCAACGTCTCCTGATGTACTGGCCTCTCTCCTGGTAGTGCCTCCATGCTCTGGATACTACGCTGACATACACAGCAAACCTTCTTGCCACAGCTCGCATTGATGTGCCATCCTGGATGAGCTGCACTACCTGAGCCACTTGTGTGGTCTGTAGACTCCGTCTCATGCTACCACTAGAGTGAAAGCACCGCCAGCATTCAAAAGTGACCAAAACATCAGCCAGGAAGCATAGGAACTGAGAGGTGGTCTGTGGTCACCATCTGCAGAACCACTCCTTTATTGGGGGTGTCTTGCTAATTGCCTATAATTTCCACCTGTTGTCTATCCCATTTGCACAACAGCATGTGAAATTGATTGTTTGATTTCACAGAAGTGTGACTGACTTGGAGTTACATTGTGTTGTTTAAGTGTTCCCTTTATTTTTTTGAGCAGTGTATATATATGTATATATATATATATATAGCAACAAGTTACATCCCTATGACAGACAAAAGCACTAGTACAAACTGACCTCTGCTGGTGGATAACAGTATGACATGTGAAAAATATATATTATATGTACATACAAAGAAGGTTCCAAATTGTAGAATATTCAAGTTTATGTGAAGAAATCATATTAATTTTAATAATGACAGGAGGTAAATATTTTGTAATATAGTAATATATTACTCCACCTCCAAACAATAATAATTAAAAAATCAACAATTAAAACAACATACCAAATGCAGAACATCAAAAACCGCTCTCTCTTTTTGTTTGAAGTGAAAAAGTCCAACTTAAATTGAAATTCAAAACATAGAACTCTTGTCCTCAGTAACACGTAAACGAAAGTGAAGAATCGAAAATTAGTCTTGACACACCAATATTCAATAAATGACTAGACAGTCATTACAAAATGCAAACAAGCATAAGTAGTAATGTAATAAACAGACTGAATTATTATTATTATTGGTATTTATATAGAACCAGCTTACTCCGCAACACTTTACAATAAAAGGGGAATTTACCAAATGAGAAAATAACAAAATGTAACAGGAACAATAGTTGGGGACCCTGCTCAAAAGAGCTTACAGTCTAGAGGAGGTGGGGTATAAAAACACAATAGGAAGGGTATTGAGAGAATCATCAAATAGACATGGTCGGAAAGTAGCAGAACTGGAGGTGAAAGTGGCGTGTGGCCCTATAGGAGAGAGCGAGAGGAAGGTTTGAGAGACTGACGTTACTCTTGGAGGCCATAAGCAATCCTGAAAATATGAATTTTGAGGGACTTCTTAAAGGATTGAAGACTAGGGGAGGGTCTGATGGGGGTAGGCAGGCTGTTCCAAAGGAAAGGAGTCGCCCGTGAGAAGTCTTGCAGGCGTGAATTTGCAGTAAGGGTGCGAGCAGCAGACAGGAGGAGGCCGCCAGTAGAGCGGAGAGACCGAGAGTTAGTGAATTAGTGAAGTAATGCAAGAGGGGTTAGAGTTGATTAGAGCTTTATAGGTAAGGATTAATATTTTAAATTGACACCTGTAGGGGACAGGAAGCCAGTGTAAGGATCGACAGAGGGGTGAGGTAAGAGAGGAGTGACAGGAGAGATCAGCATGGCAGCAGCATTCACCACAGATTGTAGGGGGGCAGTACGGCTTCTGGGGAGACCAATTAGGAGAGAATTACAGTAATTTTTTACGAGAGATTACTAGAGTGTGAACAAGCTCTTTGGCAGTATCTTGCGTAAGAAAGGGGTGTATGCGGGCAATGTTTTTAAGTTGTAATCGACAAGTTTTAGAAACAGACTGGACATGAGGCACAAAGGTTGAAGTCAGGATCAAAAGTGACACCAAGACAGCAAGCTTGAAAGGATGGGGTGAGGTACCATCAACCTGCAGGGAGAGTGAAGGAGGAGGATCAGTGTTATAAGGAGGAAAAATAAGAAACTCAGTTTTAGAGAGATTGAGTTTCAGAAAGCGGGAGGACATCCAATCAGAGATAGAAGAGAGGCAATTGGTGACATGTTGTAGGACAGCAGGGGAGAGGTCAGGGGAGGAGAGGTATATCTGGGTGTCGTCAGCATACAGGTGGTAGTGGAATCCAAATGAATTCATGAGTTTGCCAAGAGAGAACAAAAGGGGATCAAGAACTGAACCTTTGAGGGACTCCAACTGAGACTGGATGAGGAGAGGAGGTGCTGTTGGAAAAAGAGACAGTAAAGGAGCGTTGGGAGAGATAGGAGAACCATGAGAGGGCTGTGTCACAGAGACCAAGAGATTGAAGAGTTAGGATAAGGAGGCCATGATCAACAATGACAAAGGCAGCAGAGTCAAGAAGAATTAGTATGGAGCAGTGGCCTTTTGGATTTAGCTGTGATTAGGTCATTTGTAACTTTAACTTTAAGAGCAGTCTTAGTAGAGTGGAGGGGTCGAAAGCCAGATTGAAGAGGATCGAGAAGGGATTTGGAATTTAGGAAGTGAGTCATATGAGTAAAGACAAGTCTTTCTAGATGCTATGAGGAAAAATGAAGCAGGGATATGGGACGGTAGTTGGAAGGGGAAGACGGGTCTAGGGATGGCTTTTTTAGGATGAGTACGACAGTAGCATGCTTTAGGGGAGCAGGGACAACACCAGCTGAAAGAGAGCAGTTTAGGATGTGTGTTAGGGATGGTGCAAGGATTTTTCCCACTCCCCCGCATGTGACATCACAATGCCCCACCCATATGATCTGCCATATGAACTAACGCCAGTGCTGCACACAGTGTGTGTTTACATTTAAAAAGCCTGCAGGGACAGGCTATAGACACCAGAACCACTTCATTAACCCCTTCAGACCGGAGGGCGTACTATTACGCCCTATTTTAGGCGGCTCTAAACCCCGTAATAGTACGCCCTCTGGTCTTTCTTTACTTACCCGGTGGCCGGCAGTCCCACGCCGGCGATCGCGGTTGGGGTGACTCCCAGGGAGCCCCCCCGCGGCAGATCTTCCCTCCTGCAGCCCCCCCGGCCATGTGAGAGTGAGGTCCTTGCGAGGACCTCACAATCACATGGCAGGGTTAGCTGCCTGCTGCATTGCCAGCAGGGGGACTGCCTGTAATGACAGGTAGTCCCCCTGCTGGCTGGAAATAAAATAAATAAATGTTAAATAAGTGTAAAAAAAAATAAAAAATAGATACTTAGATTATATATATATATTATGATGATTATAATCTAAGTATATATATATATACACATACACACACATATACTGTCTAGGTGTATTTTACTATTAATATATATATAGTTATATATATATATTAATATCAAATTACACGTAGACTGATATTGATTAACTATATATAATTATTGTTATATATATATTTATATATAATATAAAAAAATTAAATATGTAAATACGTTAAAAAATAAAATTAAAAAAATAATTTAAAAAAATTATTACAAATATATAGATGTGTGTTATTTCATTCTAACTGTATTGTGATATTAATATATATATATATTTATATCAAAATACACGTAGAACGAAATAATATACATATCTATATACATA